GTATCAATTCTTAAGAATAGGTGCTTGATTAATAGTTGATGATGACACCCCACTTCTCAGGCCCATAGTAGAATTTCTCTTCTTATTCAAGTGATGGTCTTTTCCCCATAGATTCTACGTAGATGTCCCAGACAGGAGATGCTGAGTATATTACTGAGGCCAAATGAAACAATTAAACCCATCCCTTTATAATTTTAATGATGGTAGAATTCCTGGAACTCATGTTGGCAGTAAAAAAAAAGCATCAAAGAGAGTAATAAATATATGGAATGTTGACTGGATCTAGAGCCTAGGGGAAGAAAGCACAGCTGTACATGAATTCTAGGCCATTTCCTTACCAAGAATAAGTGGGTGACCTTCTTGTCCAATGGGAAACCATTGATCCCAAACAAGGACATGGCCAGCTGTCAATCCTGTGTACACATCCCTGAACAATCAGTGGTACTGCTGGTAATTTCGAGTAACAAAAAAAACTGGTCCCTCTTTGTTTCCTAGTCCAATCAACTCTCAAATATCTATTTAATTGGGGTGTTTATGCATTTTATGGATTGTCTAGGGTAGCTTTTCAATCCCAAATAGCCTTCCTATATCTCTAACTCTTTCTCCTTAGACAGTTGGTAGCCTATACAGAAACTGTAAACTTGTTTGCATTCTGGTCTAAAACAAATAGATCTGGGAAAATACATTTGCTTCCCCTTCAAAGTCCTGTAAACACAATCCAAAACCAAATATAATAAATCAGCATGAGTCAGCACTTTTCCCAGTGCTGCTATAAATCAGCATTTGCGATGTCACCATTGCCAGCTGACTAACGGGAATGGCAAGCTCCATGGTGCTGGGGTTTGCTGGTCAGACTGAAAAGGGTTTATTATTTACGGTTCTAATTGTTTTTGAATAAAGAAAGTTAGATTTTGGCCTGTTAGGCTTAAAAAAAATTTTTTTAAAGAAAAGGTTCTGTTAGAAAAAGTGAATGCATGTATTACCTATTAAAAATAGTCAACAAAAATTTTAAAGAGGAAAAAACAAGGGTGACATATATGTAAAACTTGGTCCTCCAAAAGGTCAGGGGTTTGTTTTGTTTGTTTTACAGATTCTAATCAGAAGGATTAGGGAATTACAACAAGGGTAAAAATGACACTATCTGGAAAAACGTTTGGGAACGGTTATTGAACTCAGAAAGTCTAATTATCTTCCTTTTAATATTTGGGCAACAAAGCTTTTTGATTCAAACGAGGTTATTATGAACTTTCCTAATCTAACTTTATTCCCTAATAGTAAAATAAATTTTTATTCAAAACACAGATCTAAAAGTTGCTTGGATATGGGGGAGCTAAAAGGAATTGGACCTCACTATAGCCTCCAGGTAGGTGTCTCTTCACCCAGGATATCCCTTTCTAGAAAGCAGAAAGAGGCTAGAACTTGGAGTTAAAACAATGGATTTAAACCTGAGTCTGCCATTCACTAATTGCGAGATCTTGTGCCTGTTACACAATCCCTTGGAGTTATTATAGATGCATTGCCTCATCAATAAAATGAAGATAATGATACTCATCATATTTATGTGAAGACTAAATATAACATTAGTGCTTGGCACAAAGTAGGCATTCAATAAGTGAAGATGCCATTTCTTTCCGGTATGGTTACTCCTTTAGGATCCGTAAGACCTGACTCCAGACTTTCTAAAAAGAGCCTATTGAATTTTTAAAATTAAATCCGGAACTTGAATAATTTTCCTAATCTTTAAAACAGTTTGTAAATATATTTTATATTGGAGTTTGCCTGCTTGGTGGGCTTTCGTGTGTGGGGTATAGGCTTAGATAGAGGGAGACAGAGCTATTGAGACACACACACACACACACACACACACAGAGAGAGAGAGAGAGAGAGAGAGAGAGAGTCTCCTGACTAGCCTTCTTAACAATTAACAGAGATTCAGTGAGCTATTTATATGCAAGACATGCAGTATCTGGCAACTAATAAGCCTTCAGTATAAGGTAAGATCCACCTCTGCCCCCTAAATTCATCAGAAAATCATAATGCTTTCCATCTGGTTGAGAAGTGTTTATTATTGCAGAGAAATGGACATAAAATAAAATAAAATAAAAACAGAGTCCCACTTTGTTGGTATGCCAAAGAAGAATTTCAAAGGTGACTCAGTAGCCGTAGAGTGTTTACCTGTTTAAAGCAGGCTTCCACCAGATTTGGAGGGAACATATTCCTGCAAAGAAAGTAATAGTCACTTGAAAAATTTCCCAAATAATATGTTAGCTCCTTAAATATTTTTTCATTGTGTCTAAAGTAAAGGCTGTATTGAACTAAACAGAAAATGGAAAAAGAAAGATTTTGGTGCATTTTATGACTTAAAAGGGGACATATGGTCATCCTTAAGTATAGCCTATGTAATTCACATTTTTCAAGAAAGTCCCAAATTTAACTCATCTGTCCTCTTGTCAGACAATGAGATTCTTTGTTCAGATATTATATCATCAAAACTTTGCTCCTTGCTAGAATCAAAGTGAGAATGGAAATGCCTTTTGCCAAAAGAATTCTGGTTCATTGAGATATTATTCCATAATGGCTATTTTGGTATTGTGCCATGTGTCTAGGGACCAAATATTTTAAACTTAAAGTCATGGTTGGACTGTGGAATTTTGATCTCCACAAAGTCCCCCCAAAGGCTCTCTGGGGGATGGAATATCGACATTCTATTGTTGGAGCTTCTCAGGCTCTCCTAATGAGAAGATGAACCACAAAATTTGACCTTGAGGTCTATGTGGCAAGGTTTGTCACTTCCTCAGAGCAGTGCTTCAGTGTATGGTGTGGGGAGGAGAAGGAGCAACACTCTAGCTGGGGAGTCTCTAACCAGATGTGTGACCTTGGCCAAGTCACAGCACCCATTTAGGTCTCAGTTGACTTATCTGTTAAAGAGGAAACTGGATTTCATAAGAGCTTTAAGATTGAAGACTGTGGGAGAAGGAGACATGATCTGGGCAGTTGTAGAGCCTGAGATTTTAGCAATTGTAAATTATTAAAGTCATATTTAAAGGTTATAAATTCTTGTCTCTTCCTACCGCCTAGACCATCCTGTTTCCTTTTTCCTTCCTATTTGTGCTCTATGGGTCTGTTTCTATAAACCCTGATAGAAATGTGAGTTCAGGAGGTTGCAGGATAAATGCTTAAGCCAAGTGACTGGATGGGGACAGGTTAGTCATACCCTTGTGACTGAAGCAAGGAAGGGAAGAGACAAACATGGTGCTCTGATGGATCAACAAGCCTGGGAATGACAAGATCTCAATTCTTTAAACAATAAACAGAAGTCACAGAGAAATAGAAAATAATGAAATACCCCTCATCCAACTAACTTTATTCATAAATAAAGTTAATGAAAAAATGGTGAAAAGCCTTAATTAACTGTATGAACTAAATAAAAACATAGTTATAGGGTGACAACTTGACATGAAATTTTGTAGGGTAGCTTTTTACTTTCAGATCATGTGATTAACTTCCTGAAAAAGGCTTTCAAAAAGAGGCTTTGTGAAACCGAGTTGTGCTTCCATGTAGATGGTACGAAGGAACCCATGGCAGGAATGGAAAGGTGCTGCAGAAGAGATCCTGTGTTCCCCAAATCTCTCTTGAATCTACCTGCCACAGACCCAGTCATTGAGATGGCATGTGAAATCAAGTCCCTAGAAGGAGTGTCTTTCAGATGATCAATGGGGATCCCTTTAGGGTAGTTATTTAGGATTGGCAAACCAGCCACTTTGCGAGGAAGTTGTAAGGAAGGTTTTGGGATGAGAGACTGGATAGGGCTACACGGTGTGTGTGGGAATGCTAAGCAGGTGGGGAACCTAGAGGCCTGTGCTGGGATAACTTCCATTTGCCCTTCTAGATCCACTCTCCATTCTGCTTTGTGCCCTGAGAGGCTGACTCCTTGGTTTGTAGCATGTGAGTTGTCTTGTCTTTTGGCTTCCTGCTTGGTTTGTCCAGTGAGACATTCTGAAAGAACACAGGGTGGTGAAAGAGAGAAGTGGATGTGTATATTTTTGCAGCTCATCTTTGACAGGTTGAATAGCAGCTCCTTCCCTCCCCACCTGAGGGCCCTTTCCCTAGGCCACAGCTCTTCCTGAGTTCTAGTAACAGCTCATTCTTTTGCCCCTCAGAGCTAGGGGGTAGTAAATAAAACACTTTCCGATTGCTCTTATTCCCCTGGTGCCTCACCATCTCTTGTAGTTTCCCTTAACCCTGCTTGTACCTTTGCAAGCCTTTTTCAATGATCCTTTTGAAAAATGTACTATGCTTCCTGCTTCCTGCTTGGACCTGACTGATGCAAGAGTGGGCGTGTAGAGAGAGCAAGCAGGAAGGTTTCAGGATCAAGTTCTGTATAAGGCCGACTCTATCAAGTCTGTTTCAAGTCTTAGATAAGACTCATCTGTACTCAGTATATGGTTTGTACATAAAACGATGCTAAAGAAGCCATCTTTTAATCTTTTTTTTTTTTTTTATTAATCCAACAACTCCTTTATTCATAAATAATATCAAAAAAAAAAAGACCTTGAAAAGGGTGTGACCAAATGACCTCTACGGTCCCTTCTGGGAAGAAATTGTGTATAATGGATGACAATACATATCACAAGTTCTAAATTAAAAGGACTCTTTTAGTTTATTCAGGCTATACCTGAATAAAAACTAGCTTTAAAAAGCAAGACGTGAGAAAAGTAAGTTAAAAATTATTAATATTGCAAGGTGAGCTACCCAGTTGAAAGGAGAACTGAGTGATCAGATTCTGAATCCTAAAAACAGGGCTCTCAAAATCTATGTCCTTGCTCTTCTTTACTCTTTCACATAAGATCAAATAATGAATCCTTACTTTAATTTCTGTTAGAAAAAAGTAAAGATGTAATCTTCACATCAAGCCCTGCAAGGTTGGTTCAGTTGGACATATCTGTCAGGGTTTTATTAGCTCCCCAAAATAAGAGGGGTTGGGTGGTCGAAATGTATCAAAAGGGATGGGCTTGCAAGGACATACCTGATCAAGTCCAGGAAGGCGTCTGCAGCTGTCACTTGTACAATTTTGCCTTCTCTGTACATGTTTTCCTTCGTGCCCTTCCCAGGATGGATGATGATGACAATGATTATGCCAATCACCACGGCAATGATGGTTGTAGTCATGTAATAAACTACAGCTCGCATTCCCATCTTCCCTGATGCCTTACTATCTAGGGCCGCCATTCCTGGTGAAGGCAAACAGAAGCAGATTTTCAAAAAGTCAGTCCAGGGAATTCTCCAGTGGAAGGTAATGGGAACAGTATTTCCTTCTGCACTCCCCTACCCTCATCCCACCCAGCAATGGGATTTTGTACATGCTATGAGAACTTGGCACCAAATTTAATCAGGGCATCGCAAAAGATGAAGGGAAAAACCCACAGAATGGCTAAGCATCAGCTACGTCAGCAAACGTATTTTCTGCTTCAAGAGTTGATTTCACATGTCTCTCTAATGATGTAAAAGGGCAACCAAATTTTTTCCTATGTTACTACTAGTTGGAGAAGGTATTAGTGTGAATAATGAGGGGTGTGTGTGTATGTGTGTAGATGAAAAGCTAGAACTTTAAAAAAATTTCTGGCAGGATAATCTCAAATTTAAGTGCTGTGGTGACTCACACAGATTAACTGCCACTAAATCCTTTCAAAAGAATTATTATTTTTCATATACACTTGGGAGTCTTTTTTCATGTTTTTATGTAAAATTTAAGCTATTATTCCCATCACTTACTGATTTATCTCCAATTTCCATTTAAAGTAGACATTGGGTTATAAGGCCAAAATTCTCAAATAGTTTCTCTGCTGTTTCATTTCATCTTATCTACTCAAAACTTTAAAAAAATTATTGTGATGGGGTTTTTCTCATTTCTGCACCCTGCCTTCCTCCACCTCTTGTCCCACAGGCCCAGAGTACCTCATTTCATTATAACATTCTTCTCATTTTTAGGACATTTCCAAAGTTTACCTCAGGCAAGCTATTATCCTAGGTAGGAAAGGAGGCTTGCCTTTTAAGATTTTCCTAATTGCTCTAGCAAATAGAACATATCTCGATGTTTCTTGAGACGGAGAAAAACGGAAATGACACAAAACTCTTAAAAGATAAGATTATAATAATATGGACTTTTCTGGTTCATTAGCTATCTCCCAACTTTTCTTCCTGCTTTCCCCTCTCCCATCATACTAAAACAGTAAAATCCAATTATAGTGTAATCCAATTTTGGTTAATTGGACTATTTTCTTTACTATTTAAAATTGTGCTTCTATAAATATATCAAAGAGTTTATTGTATTTCAATGATCAGTATCAGATTCTAATAGTGGTTTAACATTTAAGTATTGACCCTGTTCATACCGACACATTTAGAGTAAGGTAAAGTATTGAAAAGATAGTGTCCATGAGTGTCAGATAACTGGCTGGCTTTGCCCCAAAATCTTAATACAGTGATAATAAGCTTATTCGGGAATTGAAGCCATGACCTTCAATTTATAATTTCACTTATATTTGAACCATATCATTTATAATTTTCATAATAAGCACTTACTTAGTATCTGATATGTTCTTATTTTTAAGTACAACCTATAAGGTAGATTAAAAAACAATTAGGTAACTCTCTAAGGCCTTAGTTAACACCAAGTAAAATGCAATGGGAACTTGAACCCAGATCTTATGTGACTAAGTTTAGTGTACTTTCTGCCCCTGAGAAGACCAATTGCAGCTCCCATAAATGGGGAGGCCAACTTTGCCTTTGATGCATTAATTTGGCTGCTTTTATCCTTGCCTTGGGTTTCTTAAAACCCAAGTTTAAGTATCCATTTACCGGGATGGCGCCACTTCAACACTTCGCCAATGTTAAAAATGATCTAATCTGTTTTCAAAGTGTCTCATCTCCAATTTTCATTTGCAGGTCTGAATCACATCTTGAAAATATGTTGGCTTTCCTGTGCTTGAAATAATTTC